AATGCAATCACTTTCTAGAGTGGAGAGGTTCATAGCAGTAAAGAAGATAACAAGCGAGCCTGATAACGTGTTAATTTTTTGGAGTTTGGAAGAAACGGAGCGAGAGGAGTGGGTGAGGTTTGTGTTGGAAGGTTGATTTTGGTTATGATTTGACAACTTGAATTTGGGTTTTGGAAATAAGGTATGTAGTTAATAGTTTCAAATGTTATCGGATCTAGTATTTTGTAATGAACAGTTTCAGATATTATTAATATAAGTGAACAATTTCAAATTTTATCTGATGTTAATAATGTAATTTGGTTTAATGGTAATTTTAATTTTTTTTTAAAAATGACAAAAAAAATCATAAAAGGTCATTTGTTGATATTTAATTCCGATTCCAAAGTTGAATTCCGTGAACCAAACAAAAAAATTCCAATTCCGTTAAGAATTCCATTCCAATTCCATGCAACCAAACGCAATCACATGACAAGGTCAAATTCCATCAGATTCCATTCCATTCCCTCAAAGTCAAATTCCTTTGATGAATTCCAATTCCATCGAATTCCATTCTACGAACCAAACGCCCCCTTAGATTCTTTTTGGTTTAAGAGATTGAATTGGATTTTAAGGAATTTGGAATTGAATTTTATTTTAATCATATGTTTGGTTTGAAACATTTCATTGATTTAAAATTCCGCTATTTAGTTGAAACTAGGGGTACTTAAAATACCGGCTAATCCAACCCGAAAAAACCCAAAAAAAACTCAACCTGAGATAATCGCGACACATAATTGATACAAAATTAGACCAACTTGAATCTATTGGGTTGGAATTGGGTTATGATTATTTGAACTCAACACAACCTTGTGAATCCGATGCACTTCTATGTTAATTTAATAATGATTTCTAAGTCCTTGATTAACATATATAAATTAGACATTAGACCAATCCATAATTAGCTATATTCAAAATTATATTACAATATGAATCGTAATTTTACCTTTTTCTTTGCATAAACCTTCAACTTTATTTTTTGTGTTTGTTAGTCATTTTGTATGTTATCTTTTTTATTTTACTTCGTTTGAACATAAACACTTTGGTAGATTGTAAAATGATATAACAAAGTTTCAATCCGATTAACTTGACCAACCTGCGCGGTTTGGGTTGGGTTGGGTTGTAATTTTGGTTGAATTGGGTTAGGTTGAAAATTTTCAAACCACAAACATTAGGTTGGCTTGTTCAAATGTTTTCAATCTGACCCATGTGCAAACCTAGTTGAAATCCTACAAGTATAGAATTTTTAAATCCAACATGGTGATTGGTATTTCATTGGGTTTCACATGATCTGTGTGTAACAATGTTTTAAAATATGTTTAAAATATTGTTTTGTAAGGGAAATGTTTAAAAAAAAAACCCAATAAACTTTCTCATTTTGAATGGTTTAGACCATAACTATTTTTTTGAATGATTAAGTCCATAAACTATTTTAAAAAAAATTAAAAAATCATTAAAATTTCACATTTGAATTATTAAGACCCTAGATTTTTTTTTAAAATACGCCATTGAACTTATACTATTTGTTTATTGTAACTTTTTCGGGCTTAAAAGATGTAGGTAACCAATTTTCAAAAATACGATTATTTATTTATTAAAAAAATGTTCAATAACTTAATCAAAATGAAAAAAAAAAACTTAAATAGTTTTTCATTAAAAAAGTTTAATGATTTTTTTATTCAAAAAAATAGTCCAATGACTTAATCATTTAAAATGATTTTTTCATTCAAAAAAATAGTTCAGTAACTTAATCATTCAAAATGAAATAGTTTGTTGGGATTTTTTAAACTTTTCGTGTTTTGTAATAATCAATTGACAGAAAAAGATAATTTAATTATATTTGTAATTTGTTTTATAAACAATAAAATCAATTTCTATTTCAAACATATAGACTAAACACAACAATAATTCCAAATCCAAAGCACTCTAGTTATGAATCTTCCATGAAACGAACCTCCTCAAAATCATTTAATCAAACAAAATTTCCCCTTAAATAATCTACCAAAGCAGGAAAAGTATCACAAAAATCTTAATTTTATATATTTTAAAAAATCTATTGAAAATGCTCTAATTAATTAGGATACACACAAATTGACATAAATGATGTCACATAAAGGAAATATAAATTTTGTTGGAAGTTTTTAATATGATAATTGATACATCTAACGGTTATTACGTTTATTTAACAAACTGTGTTTCTTAACTTTAAAAAAGTCGGTTTAACAAAGTGATTTAAAATACATGATATACATCTAATGTAACTTGATATTTATGTTACATTTCCGTTATATATCACTAATTATTTTGAAAAAACCTAAAAAATTAATTTATTTAAAAAGGATGCTTTACATAAACCTACGTAGTTGGGTTAAATGTGACATGTTTTAGTTGAGAAAAAAAGTAGTATTGTATGTTTTTTTAGAGTTTTATTGGATAACCCAATAAAACCTATTACTTGTATCATTATAATCATATTAATTATGCTATTTTTCTCATTAATTAAATTAATATAATAAATTGTTAATTTGAAATAAGAAAACACATACAAGAAAAACTCGAAGAAGATATGTAAATTATCTTAACCGTTGTTAGATAATTTGATAAACATGTCGTTATTAATATAATTTATAAAAGTATAATTACATGACTGATAAAAAAAAATACATGATAATCCTTCTATTTTGTTTTTAATAATTTTTATTAATCGATTAAATTTGTTAAATATTCGTTTAAAAATTTGTTTTAGATAACTTTTTGATTTTATATCAACATGTGTTGTTTCATCCAAATCAATAACAGAGCTCTTTTTTTTTGCTATAAGTAATGCTTTTTAATAAACTTAAATGTTGAGTTCAAACCAACTTGTGTTTCATCTTCATCAATTTTATAGAGTAATAGAGTAAAAATTCAAATAAACCTTCTATTGGTCATGAGATCACTCAAACTGACTTTTTAAAGAGTAAACACAAAATTTTACCAGTTGAATTACCCCTAACGAGTTACTGCAAGTATGTTCATCGAATCTAGAGACTAGAGATGTCTGAAGCCCTACCAGGGCCCCTCCCAAAAAGTCCACACTCATGCTTTGAAGCCAGCCGAGCGGTCATCGCTTGCACAAGCAAGTAGATTAGCTCCATGGATAGATCACGGGGTTCGGGACCATAAGCAGTGACAACTGTTCTATACAGATTCGCTTTCTCTAACTTGTTCCGACCTAAAATAATAAGCTCATAAGTTTGGTCTTACTTTGAGACACGGCCCAGACTCTTACAAGAGGCAACAATGGGAAATTTTCCGTATCGGAACATGGGAATAGCTTTGATACCAATACGGACTGCCCATTTCAATTGTTGTGCTTTCTTAAATTGCATAAGCAGCGGATTGCTAATCTGTTGTACGAGTTTCGTACCGAGGATTCAAATCCCTCTTTTCGTGCGCCCTAGGACTAGTAGTGCGATCAATCCCTCTCGTGTAGGATTAACACTCACTCAGCAATAACTCTCCTCTTAGCAAGTACGCCTCCTGTGAAAGTCCAGTAGCCAAAAACATCAATAGCTTAAGGATTACAGCTCGCCCAACGATTTGAAGACCTATTGATTATAAAAACCGATCATGCGTATTTAAAGAAAAAGCTCGGCTCTTAAAAGCCCAAACATAAAAGTCCAATCAAGCTAAAAAACCCGACATGGAAAATCAAAAAAAAAAAAAAAAAACAATATGTCCTATTTTTTACACTTAAAACTTGGACTCAGACTTTTTTCGCTTATTAAAAATGAGCTTAAAAGACCTAATCCCGAACCCGAAAAGCTCGAGCTTGTGCATCTCAGGTCGGTGCATGCAATTAGTAGCGTGTCCTTGATAATCTATCAAACAATATTCAAATATGCAATATAAAACTATTTTGTGGCTATTATTGTAATTTGTTCAAAGTTCAGGGTGTACCGGCGAAATTCATGTTTCAAATTTTCAATAAGATTCTCGACTCTCGATGTTCAAACTTTTTCTCCTGGGAAGTCAAAATAGTTACGCAACTGAAAACAAATCTGATCGATGTCGCCGGCACCTGTTATCGGGGTGGCGGTGTTTCTGCTCAAGGGCAACACCGTGCTTTTGGGACGTCGCCGCACTTCAATCGGTCACAACACCTATGCTCTCCCCGGCGGCCACCTTGAGTTCGGTCAGTCCTCTCTTAAACCCCCGATCACGCCTCACACACATTGATTATTACTGTAAACACAACCCTTGCCATTGTTGTATACTGTAAACTATAATGTTTCGCGTGAGAAGGAAAAACAGTTTACTTTTAAAAGCGTTAAGCTGTTTTAATATGAAATTAGGTAATACTCTAGATACATTTGAATTTAAAGGTCAAGGCTAATTTATTCAAATTCAGATTAAAACCATAGGAATATATTAAATGTTGTGGTGTGATAGGTAAAGAGAGATGTGTTGAGTTTTTCTAACAAAATTAAAGTCCATACCAGTGTAGGCTTAATAAGTACTAGGTTTGACATTGGGTTGTCTATCACTGATAAATGAAGTTTTCAATCTTTGAAATGAGAACCAAATACGTTGTTTCTTGTATATGAATTGACATATTTGATTAGAAAGTCAAAAAATGTATCTCTAGAATTAATAGGGAGGTAGTATTATTAAGTTTCCCCAGAAAGAGTGTTTATATGCTTCAAATTTTGGTCCAATTCTATGATGGTGTATATGCTTGTAGGAGTAGCAGAATATTCTATGTGATTCAGTTTCAAAGAGAGATAGAGATGACAGGGAAAGAGAAAGAGAATGAAACAACAAAGAGATATGATACTTTTGCTGCTTTTGCAATAATCATGTGGTTCCGTTGATCTTGAGTATTGTTGGTAATAACATGATAAGAACCGAATCCAACCCTGGGGTTAGGACCCGAGAAGTGCCTGATTTCAAGAACAGGTAATCTCCACAAAAGTCAAAGACTCTCTTAATTGATTGAATGAATATACAAGAACAATGGAGCACCCTATTTATAGAGTCCCGCTAACAAGGAAATCTAAACCAAAAAGGGAACCTCTAAAAAGAAGAAATTATTCTTCCCATAAAAGAAATAACCGAAATGCTTAAAATAGGAGATTATCTTCCATTCTTAACCTTGTTGCCTTAATTGTCTCCTCTGGTAAACTTGACCATATCGTCCAGGTATATCATAACAAAAGGGCTAGTCATCTTTGTCTTCTAGATAACCAAGTACCAACTGCATTGATGGCCCCCTATTGGCCTCTTTTGCTTCAAGTCATTCCAGCTATTAGTAATTGCCAATCTCTTGATGCTTCATGAAGTCGAAAGGACATTTTCATGACTTGCTCTCTCTAGTGCATTTTGGACCCTGAAAATTGATGGTATATCTCTTGTGGTCTTGTGGATAGGATTTATCTATGGGGTATATAAAATTATTTGCTTAGGGTATGTAGAACATATGGCACTCATTATGATGTTGTTTCTAAGAGTAGGACGAGTGTTGCCTCACAACCTTGCTTTATGTTAATCGATTTGATCTCAAGAAATGTCTATATCAAATTATAAATTAATGAACTAAAGTAAATGCTATCCCAATAATGTTTGTGCACAAACATGGAATTTATTAGAAAAAAAAATGTTTAAACACTACATTTTTTTATCTAATATTTCTTTGCTGTTTCTCATCATCCTTTTAAAGAATATTTTTCAGAAAATGAGAAATAAAATTAAATCAGTTCCTTCACAAGAACATATCATAGTTGATGAAAAGTTCATTTGAAGGATTGCCTCCATTAAATTATTTGTTACAAGTGAAAAGGGTTAAATATACTGGTTCACTAAAATGTAATTTCAATTCGTCTAGGAATTAGAACCATCTGTGAGCTTAACAAGCTGAAAGATATAACCAGACCCGTTTACATTTTTGTTAAGTCTAAGCCTCTAGTGCTGAATGACACATGGTTCTTGGGAAGTGGTAGAGATAAATAAATGTCATTTTACAAGTAGGTAATCTAATTTCTCTTGTATTTTGCGAAATAATGTACAAGATTATATATTGCTACTAGGAAACTATGTAAAAGATACTAGAAAGAAGAACCCTAATTATCTACATTTAGTTAACACTCTCCCTCAAGCTAGAGCATATATACAAATCATGCCCAACTTATTAAAAAATGATAAACCCGAATGACCGAACCCCATTTAAAGCTCTTGTGAAGGAAGCTACGTTTAGTCGAGTTTTGTCATTAATCGGTTCGCTTTATGTAGTTTTGGTATGAGATTATGTATTAGAAATTTAGAATGGTCAGTTTGTATATTGTGACCATGATCCATCAATGTGTTCTTCGTTTATATTGAAAGAAGGTTTTAAACTAAAATGCGGTCTGCTTAGGTTGAAATGGTTTCACTATTACTTGTTGATGTGGTTGTGAAATTAAGACAGGTAACTTCCCTCGTGTGTTTCGTTACGGAGACGGAGTGTGGGGTGTTGCATATCTAGTATGTCCCACTTGTAAGTAGGGTTGGGGTGAGTAGAATGTACGTAGACCTTTCTTCTGCTCCAAAGGGTAGAGAGACTGTTTCCACATAGACCCCTAGCTTGCAAAAAAATTCGGGGAGACATGAGAGAAACTAGATTCTTTTGTAGTTATGCTTTGGGTACATATTCTATTCCCCTTTGAATACGTTCCATATTCTACATTTCTACTTTCTTATAAACCCACTACCTCATTTACCTAAATGCGAAAACTATATCTGTATAATGGAATGAAATAAACATGTGATGCTCTTCCGTAATGAGTAATCTGAAATACTAAAAAATTCAAATGCAAGTAGGCCCTCCAATTCACCTCCAGAATGAGAATTGGTACTAGCTTTGGGAGTTCATTACGGGCTATGTAGGTTTGGGGATGGGTTTCTTTAGGTGGCCGATATGATTCATTCACGATTTAGGCTTTTTACCTGACGTTTTTCAATCTGTTCGATCCGTGTGTTTATGGCTGTTCGACTCTACCCCAATAATGTGATAAGGAGCATTTCCACTCGATTGATTGCTTATATAATTTATGCTATACGTTTCTTCACATTACAAGTAACATCCTCCAGGAAATTATTCATTTTCAAGCTGTTAATTCAAATCCTCGGCATCACCAATATCTAGACATAATATGAATACTTTTCACGTAAGCATCCTTTTTCAAATTTCCTTCTTGGTATCCCAGGTGAAAGCTTTGAAGAATGTGCAGCAAGAGAGGTGAAGGAGGAAACCGGGCTAGACATCAAGGATATACAACTATTGACGGTAACCAACAATCTCTTTTCTGAAGCTGCAAAACGGGTACATGTTGTTGCTGTTATTATGCGTGCTTTTTTATCCGATCCTGACCAGCTCCCTCAAAACATGGAGCCTGACAAGTGTCATGGTTGGGATTGGTATGACTGGACAAACCTGCCCCAACCGCTATTTCAACCTTTGGAGACTATGGTGCAAGGTGGGTTCAGTCCCTTCCCTACCGACTTAAAGTGATTAGAAGCAATACTACTTCACAAAATTTTCTTCGTAGGGTTGCACTTCACTGGATGGGTGCAACTTTTTCTTCTTCAAGTTGAACTGATTAGTGCAGGAATGTAATGTGATGCTGTGTGAATAAATGAAGAAAAAACAGTTATTCTTGAGGTAACTACCAGTTCTATTACAGCTCGTAACAATGATTTTACTTGTTTTATAATTGTGTTTTCGGATCTTTGGCCGACTAAGTAACTTCCTTTTCCCGACACCGTCAAACCCGTTAAATACCCTTAAAACATGATATAGATATCCTTAAAAGATAAACATAATTAACGTGTGAATAGAAGGTAAATAATATTATGATTGATACGAATCGAAGCCCCTACAAATGGCCAGCCACATGGGCCTTGGTCCCTTGGAATCATGTGGTTCCCATTAGAGATGGCCCATTTTGGCCAGGGTTGATTGGGACCGGTAAGGACCGGTTATGAACCGATGCTCCGGGACCGATTATGTTTTTGTATGAAATTTCAAGGCCCAGCTCGAGATCGGTTACGAGACAAGTACAAGGACCGGTTATATACAGGTCCCATTTTTCAAGATTTTCTAGTTTTTTTTTTTTTTAGTTTTTCAAGTTTTTTGAAACTTTTTTTCAAGTGTTCTAATATTAAATTCTAAAAATAGTAATTATAGAAACACTTGTAATATTTTTGTATGAAAAAATTTAAGAAAAGTAAATAAATTAAAGTGTATTTAGTGACACAATTAGAGACTTTTAAGTGTATTTTAATAATATATTATAAAAAAAAAATCTTCAAACACAATTTTAACATGTTTAAATTTGATTTTTAGGAAAAAAAGGATTGGGATCGATTTGGTTGGGACCGGGATCGGTTACAAAAAGAAAATCTTAGATGGGGACCGGTTTTTGGCCATCCCTTAATAGAAAGTTTGGTAAATAACCCTTTAGGTGGCGTTTGGTTTGCATTATGTTTTTAAATAGAATGAAATCTGTTAAAAAAATTTGATTTTCAAGGAATTTGAATGAAATGTTGTCAAGTTTGACCACCTGTTTGGTTAGCAGACATTAGAATGAAATCTGTTAAGGAATTGAAATTTGTCTGTTTGGTTCACGGAATATAGTTTTGGAATTGGAATGAAACATTGGTAAATGACCAAAATGCCCTTTTTTGAAAGTTTTAATGTTTCTAAAACCAAAAATACTTTAATAAAGTAATTATTTAATATGTAAAACAATATAAGATACACAACTCAAATATAATTATAAGCCAAACGACATTACTAAATCAACGTTGGTCGACGGTGGTTCAGACCGGTGGTAGTCCACAGTGGTTCAGATGGCGGTGATCGGCAATGGTTCAGATTGATGGTGGTCTGCGGTGGTTCAGATGAAAGTGGTTCAGATGGACGGTGGTTCAGATGGACGGTGACAACGGCGTTTCAAATCGGTGGTTGTTCAAATCGTTGGTGGTTGGCGGTGTCCGGGGTGATTCAGGTCGGTGGTAGTCGCCAACGGTCGGTAGTAGTTCAAATCGGTGGTGGTCAGTGGTGCTTCAGATGACAGTGGTCGGATGTGGTTTCAGGTCATGGTTTAGATCGTCTTGTGGGTGGTTCAGATCGGTGATGGATCAGATTGGTGGTTGCTCAGACCGGTGATGTCGGCGGTGGTGGTCGTCGGTGGTTCAGATGGTGATGGTCGGTGGTGATTTAGAGGTGATTGGCGGTGATTCAGATTGACGGTGGTTGAAGGTGGTCATATTGGGTTTTATGAGATTAAAATATATTATATTAAGGGCATATTTGGCATTATGAAAATAGAGAATTTTATTCTATCAAAATACCATGTAGTTGCTAAGAAATGTTAAATTTTTTTTATTTGTGGAATTTGTAAGATTTTGAAGATTCTTTTCGTAAAAAATAATGAACCAAATGAGGGAATGAAATTTGGTCAATGGAATTCAACATTCCAATTCCATCAGAATTCTTCAGAATTTCCGAACCAAATGCCTCCTTAGTCTCGTATATATTAGACTTTGACTTTTTTTTTTATCGATATATGTTGGAACTAGGAACCTCCCCTTATTTTCTCAATAGCTTTTCTATAAAGTAATCTAGTGGAGTTCCATGTATATTCACATGGTATTAGAGTCAATATCTATCATTCTAAGGGTTTGACACTCTGGAATAATCTATACCCTTCTAGCCTCCATTAGAGAGGACGTATTAGGGTCACAGATTGGTTAGACTAAGTTTCTTCATTCTAAACTAGAAGGGTACTCGCGTAATGCAACGAAATATATCTCGATTTTAATGTTTTATTTTATTTTTTTGGTTTCTGTCGATATTATAATACAAACTTATGTAGTTTTGAGCAAGCAATAATGTTTTTCTTAATAAAATATAAATGTGAAAATATAATAATAATAATATATATATATATGTATGTATGTATATATATATATATATGTATATATATATATATGTATATATATATATGTGTGTGTATATATATAAGTTCTATTTTTTGTGTAATTTCTTTAATTCAATTTTTTATTATAATTTAATTTAGGTTTAAAGACGAAATAATTTATTTTTGATTTAATAATATAATTTTTATGAAGATAATAACTAAGAGTGCGTTTGGTTTGCAGGAATGTTTCTGAGGGATTTGGATTTGCAGGAGGGATTTGGATTGGATTGGATTTAAAATTCATTCATGTGTTTGGTTTGCAGGATTTGGATTGAATTTGAAATTCATTCCTTTATAAATCATGTTTGGTTTGTAGGATTTGAATTGAGATTTTTTTTTCTTTTGTAATTATTTTAGTCACCAAATCTCTTTCATTTTCTCAAAACTAYMTGTTAACAATCAAACTTTTTCATCCAAAATGCATATTTATTTGTAGAATTCTAATTTGTTGAGGCTGTTATTAAGTAATTATTTTTGTAGCTATGACATGAAGTTCTATTGATGCAAAAATTGTAAGTACAAATCGGAACAGAATATGCAGAAATCGAAGTACAATATGCAGAAATCGGAAACAATATGCAGAAATCGAAGTACAAATTGGAACATAAATCGTATTGTGAAGTCGTAACAGAAATCGAAGTAAGTAGAAATTGGAACAGTAAATCCTACCTGTCTTCGATAAGCAGAAATCGATAGAATGGAAAAAGGTTCGACGATGGAGCCGACCACCATGGGAGAAAGCGACGAAGAGGGAGACGACCACGGTGGGAGAAAGCGACAGAGACGGAGACGACCACCGTGGGAGAAAGCTACAGAGCCGGAGACGACAACAGTGTGCTCAATCGACGGAGACGGCGATGGAGGAGGCTGGAGGAGACAGTGAGCGATGAAAATGGAGGAGAAATGGAGGATGCGATGGAGACGTGAGCTAGGGCAAGACAAATCCCACGGGAATGGATTTTTAAAAAACCATGTGCTTCCAAAGGATTCTAAAATCCATCGGTCACGGGATTGTAAATGAATCCCAAGATTTTAAATCCTACCAATCCTACAAACGAAACACATGATTGAAATGGATTTTAAATCCAAATCCCTCCCATTCCATTTCATTCCTGCAAACCAAACGCACCCTAAAGTATTATGTTAGAACTCAATAATTATCCTAATTATATTATAGATTTTATATTTAAAATAAGAATCTTATCTTGTATTTGATTATATTTATTTACAGTTACGGTTAGCTATATGAATTCAAACATGGAGCTTAATAAGTTGTATATACGCACAATTTACTTGTAATCTTGAATTTTAAGTAATATGCATCAATAAACAGTACTTCATGTATAAAAGATGGTTTTTAAAAGTTTTTATCAAATACTTTGTAATATAGTATAGATATATGTTGGAATCTTCATTCTCTTCCCAAAGACTATTTTAAAAGCAAACTAACGAGGTTCTCGATATCGTAACAGAATCTAAAGAACCAAAGCCATACTATGTGGATTATCTTTTCCGAGTTGTAATCATAGTCTAATTTCATATGTGAATCATTTGTAAAATCGTATAAAGTGAAAAACATGTAAAAACCGAGATTAAAATAAATGGTTAAATATATAAGTAATTATAAAAATCCATGAATTATCTTTGAATATAAATGGTTAAATATATAATTTTCATAACGTGTATAACTTTTTTTTGGCAAATTTAAACGCAGAGTTACATGTTTACTATTATTTAAGGTGGTACGCGGAGAGGACAAGACAGGATGGGCCAGGACGAGACTAATTTGTCTGTCCTACGTTTGGTACGACTGGAACAGTGGCCGGAAGCTTTGAAACCGTACCTGTCGATGGAGACGATGGATTTGTTTTAGGTTTAGGTTTATTTGAGGGTATAAAAGTAATTTTGTAATTTGTTCCATGTTGTTCCACCATTTTTGGTGGAACGAAAAATCTCAAGATTTGTCCAACAAAAATTAAAAATAGTCCCACTTTGTCTTATGCTCTTTTTGTCCGAGCATTGCCAAACATGGGACTATTTTTTTTATCTCGTCATGTCCCATATAGTCTGCATACCAAACGCATCCTAATTGTTGTATCATGTTGATGTCGCCGACTTTGATCTGTAACGTTTTTTTTTTACATCAACTCTATTGATTTTTCGGCTTAAAGAAAGATAGGTAGAGCTTATTAGAACCGCAACGGAATGGTGCTTTTGCAGGTGAAAGTAGGGCAAAATATTACACTGGGGGATTAACATTTTAAATGATACCTGATTACATAAAGAAGTTGAAGAGAATAATCATCCAAAACATGCACCATCTCGAATTGAATGTACATCTTGTGGAACTTAAAGAAGTTTTGAAATGGGGAACACGATTTTTGTTCCCATTTACGATCTTGGAACCCGAATCACGAAAACTAACCTCACTCGTCATGACTTCTTGACAAGCCTTTACCCCGAACGGCTCAAAACTTGTGGGCTTCAAACCAACCGAAAAACAAAGGTTAGAGTTATTCCAAGCCCCAAAACGCCTACCCATTTTACCATAAAACCTTTGACTGAATTTGAGCTCTCCTGTGAGGTGGTTTCCATATACATATAGTGAACTTAGATTCGGTAATTCTGCCAACTTTGGTGAAAGATTTCCGGAGAGATTATTGTTGTTAAGACCCAAAAAC